TCAACTTCAGTTTCTGAGGGCATTTTCGAGTGAGTCTTTGTGTCTCCCAGCAAAAACAACTGACTACCAGTTCTCTTAGCACTGGCTTTCAAAATGGATTATGAATTTCTTCAGGACAGGCAGTGTGCCTTCTTCATCCTGCACATGCAGCTCAAGGCTTGGCATATTTTAGTCGTTCATTTAATGCTTCATTCATTCATGTCTTCACTCAACAAATACGTAATATGCATTAGGGTGTGCTAAGTAAGCTTTTAAGCACTGGGGCTACAACTGTGGAAAAAAACAGACCAAAAAATCCTGGCCTTATGGATTGGTAAAACATAGTAAATAAAATATATGGTATGTTAGGTCATGACAAATGCTAGTGAGAAAAATACATCAAGAAAGGGAGGACTAAGGGAGGGAGGGTAGGCAGGAGTTGCAATTGTAAAGAGCATAGCCAGGGAAGGCATCCTAAGAAAGAAGCATTTGAACAGAATCCTAAAGATGAGGGGGTATGCCATGCAATTATTTGGGGGAAAGAGCATTCCAGGCAGAGAAAACAGCAAGTACAAATGCCCTGGGGCACAGAGAGCCTAATGAGTTAGAGAAAAAGCAATGGCACCAGTGTGACTGGAAGAGAGTGCATGAAGGGGGAGAGCAAGACTTGTGGAAAGGAGGGAGATCAGGAAGTAGGCTTTTGCAGTAACCCAGGGGAAAGGTGATGGTAATTCGGTTGAATGTGGTAGTGATAGCAGTGGTCAGAAGAGGCAGACATGATATCCTAGAGAGATATGACCTCAAACAAAGGCTCTGGCTTCACTTTCCAGTTTTAGATTGAAGGACAAGGCTACCCCTCAACCCGTCCCTGCCTGGAGCAACCATTGACCTTTCTTGTATAACATGACTCATGTCGGTTTTAGACAATAGGGAATTTCCCCGGGCCTCTGCCTGGATGAATATTCTTTCTCAAACTACTCCCACCTTTCCTCCTTTCTGATATTCACCAATTGCCTAAAATAATTGAATTGTCCTTTTTGATATCTCCTTATCAAGTTTCTGGCAAGCTCAGATGAAACAGCTAAATTTCCTTTTAAAATTAATCCATCTATTTTCTTTGATGATGAAAAACAGACTCCTCATAGCCTTGGAAGGGAGTAGAACAAAGTGGAAGGGAAGAGAGGCAGTCAGGAATGCTCAAGTCCAATGCTCTTGGTGCAAAGTCGCCCTTGGGTTGAAAGTTGGGAAGACCCTCGGGAAAGTGTTTAAGGTTCCTTTCTATGCCGTGAATCACTGCTAAGGAACATCAACAGCATCATGTGACCTCCAAGGCTTAATATGCTTCCAAATATAGCTAATAAGTTACTAGGGAGAATCTTAGCCCCCTGAAAAACATCTCACTGAGGCTGAACAACGTAACATCTGTGAAATCAATAACCAACCCTCCTCCTCCCCCTCCATCCCCTACCAACTGAATGAACACTGTTAACCAAAGGACAACCACACAGCTCTGAAAACATACATTGTCCCTATCTTACCAGCTATGACAAAAGCATTCTGAGTTAATAACAGGGAGAAAATTATGCTCAAAAGCATGCCAGGAATGGGGCTGTTGAATTTCTGAGTCAACTAGAACTAGAGCTATTATCTGCTAGAATGTGTGGTTTAATTGCTCAAGGTCATTTTCAAGGAGCTGTACTAGAGGCTGACAAACTCTGTTGGAATTATTGGAATTTTTTCAAGGTTGGTCATGTTGGTCTACCTCATGGAAGAGTCAGATAAATTGTCAGAAGTCCGCCTGCCCCAACTCCAAGTCACATATATTTTCTTCCTTCCCTGTGCTCACTAGTTTTTCCTCAAGTCCTTTGGCTCTAGGGTCAGTGGTATGGTCTTTAACAAGAAGGCTAACGTTACACAACAAATCTTTATTGAATACCTACTGTGTTCAGGTACTGTAAGCATTGAGTATACAGTTCTTCGAGCCTTGGTTTTCCCATAAGTAGATGGCACTAATATCCCCTCCCTTGACAGTAAACTTAGTGGGGAGTAGGATTAGCAGGAGAATTGAGATGCTTGCTGAGCAGCCAGCACATAGTAGGTGCACAGTAAATGATATCCATTATTGTAATTTTAAGAAAATCTTTAGATTTTAAATATTTATTTATTTATTTATTTTATTTTTTTTTAATGAGAGAGAGAGCACATGAGAGGGGGGAGGGTCAGAGGGAGAAGCAGACTCCCTGCCGAGCAGGAAGCCCGATGCGGGACTCGATCCCGGGACTCCAGGATCATGACCTGAGCCGAAGGCAGTCGCTTAACCGACTGAGCCACCCAGGCGCCCCGAAAATCTTTAGATTTTAAAAAGGGGTAAGGAACATCTTCTCAATCTACCACCCCTTGAACTGGCCAATAAGAAAACCTGGTTCTCTTTGAGAAGGTAATCCAAAGTTGACTGTACTACTTCACAGTCTTTTGAAATGGTCTCTCACTGGTTCATGCCTATGTTTCTGTGATGATTAATTTTATGTGTCAACCTGACTGGGCCATAGAATGCCCAGATACTTGGTTAAACATTATTCTGGGTGTTTCTGTGAGGGTGTTTTTCAATAAGGTTAACATTTAAATTGGTAAAACAGATTACCCTCCCTAGGGTGGGTGGGCCTCATTCAATCAGTTGAAGTCCTGAACAGAACAGAACAAAAAGGGTTCTGATCCTCCCCCAGGTAAGAGGGAATTCTTTCCTGCCTGACTGCTTTTAGAATAGGACATCAGGTTTTTTCCTGCCTTCAATCGTGAACTGAAACATCAGCTCTTTCTGGGTCTTGAGCCTGCCAGCCTTTGGACATAGACTACATCACTAGTTCTCCTGGTTCTCAGGCCTTTGAACATGGACTGAAAGTAAACCATTAGCTCTCCTGAGTCATGCCAGTTCACTCAACAGGTCTTGGGACTTGCCAGCCTCATAATCATATGAGCCAATTTCATATCCTAAATCTCTTTACATATAGATAAATAGATATAGATATATACATATATATATACACAGAGAGATATTTACATATATACACATACATCTATATACATACAGATATATGTTTCTATCCTATTGGTCTTTTTCTCTGGAGACAGGTTTCTAATACACTTCCTCAATTTCTTTTTTTTTTCCCCCCATTTGATTTTCTACCACTCCCCATAATCTATCCTGTACTCCAGCTGGGCTAAAGCCATAAAGCTCCTTAGCCTACCATGCTCTCATGTGTCTTTCTGTCTTTGCACAAACTTTTCCTTTGCCTTAAAGCCCTCCTCCACCCTCATCTTCAGGGCCAACTCCTGCTCACTTGTCAAAACTCAATTTTAGTACCACTTAACCCAGAATGTAATGCTTTTGAATTGGGGCCTTCTCCCATAGCACCCACTGCTTACTTCCTTCCAGCACCTGTAACCTGTCATGTATCGTGTCTGTGCCTTTATCTGGCTCTAACAATAGAAGGTGAACCTCTTGATGGCGGGTGGCCGGGGGGGGGGTGATCTGTTATTCATGGTACCTGGCACTATGTTAGTTGCATAGGAGAAAACCAACAAATGTTTGTTGTGCAAATAAAGGAATAAATGAGCATGTGAACAAAACATCTCTTTCTCCAATGAGATATAAAATACAAAGGTTAAGAGAAAAGTCATTCTAGAATCATTGAACCAAATCAATGAATTCATGTGGTCATTAGCCACTGGATTTAAAATCCTATTGAATGAAGGCTTCAAGCAAAGCAGTAAGGGTTTGGAGTAGACATCGAGGAGAGAATCCTCTCTTTCAGAAGCCAAGACAGCATATGGGCACATTTTCATTAGTTTTGTCTGAGGTAATCTTTCTAGAGACATTCAAGTTAAGTCCTTCTTCAGGATTTTTGAAATCAAAAGGAATAACCATGGCCAACTTTTATGAGTGAAGGAGGTTCATAAGCCCCAATAAAAGAAAGCAATGCAACTTCAGATCCCCCACTGAACATGAGATTTCTTGCACATCAGATGCCTACTCCTATAACCAGCTTACCTGGAAATGCCCTTTGGCAATTCAAGGTGAAAACTCCATCCTTCCACAGAGGCTGTCCTAGCTAGAGAGGGTAGAAGGCAAGGCCCACACTAAGTGATGCTAAGGGATCAATACTAATCAAACCTCCCACGAGCCACTGCTCTTTGTCCTGAGATCCAAAGGGAGATGTTGGCAGATCTGGGTCATCTGTGCCCTCTCAAGCTAAGATTCCGAGGGCAGCTGCAATGGCTGCTCACCTCAGAAGCACCACTGATGGCATCATAGGCAACCATGCCCTGTTGGTTCCTAGTAGGGCTCAGTGAAACTGAGAAACCAGAAGACAAGAGATGAAAGAAGTTGCAAAGTTGAGAGTCCAGGGTAGGTATACTTCTGGATGGGTCAGGGACTTGTAGGGCAAGGAGAAGAGAGCCCAGGAATCCTGGGCAGGTCAGGCTGGACTAAGGAAGAGCCTACGATGGAGAGAAGACTGCCTAAGCTCTTATCCTAGATATCTGGAGTTCCCATATCTTGTCCTAGTGTCTGCTAACCCAGAGAGGTGGGTCTAGTGATGGGAGTTTCCACTTGACATCCAACGGTCAGTACTGGGGAGAGCAGTGAGAGGGGGTTAGTGTGCTATGGACACCAGATGAGTGGAGGACTAGAAGGAATTGGAATCCACATGGAGTATAAGGAGGTGAGTCTTGCACTCGATGGAGATAAAGCACCTAGTTCATTTGGTTTGAACATTCTCATACAGCCAGGATCTGGATCTCAGAGATAAAACTCCCTTGGCTACTCCCCTGAGTGGGATCACTTTTGCAGCTGTTAAAAGTGTTGTTATAATACCGCTATAAGAGCTGTTGTGGTTGGTGTGGTCTAGACCACAGAAACAATAAGAATTTAGTACTCTCTATTAGCTAAATTTTGCCTTTAAATTTTCTTCCAATTTACCACTTTAGGATAGCCTTAGCTTTAAAAAAAAATGTATTTTCATCTCTTGCTTTCCAGAAAGTGGATGAAAATATCTTACTATTCCAGATTAAATAAATCTCTCCATAGCCAAGCATGTGCTGGGAAGAGCTGAGCTCATTTTGTTCTAGCCTCCTCAAACACATCCACTTTTAACAAATGGGTTGATTAAGCATCACACAGAGTAGTTTAGTATATTCCAGCCACGAATTGCCCAGCACTTTATCAGAGAAGTAAATAGCACTGTGATTACCAAACTCCAACAGAGATTTCATTGTACAAAGTCCCTTTGCTCCCACAGCATGGCGCGTCCATCTCCATGGACGATTCTGGGGTCCGGACATCCAGCCCTGGCTTCGGTTTCCTGGTGACATCAAGGACACAGTTCTCCTTGCACGGCCCAGATTTGTTACCACTGAGAACCAGAGCACGATCTTGTTTTCCTTCTCTCCAGCCACACCTAAACCCACACCGGGCAGGATCCTATGGGAGCTGTGTCTCCGCTCAGAGACGGAGGAAACAGTGGTGACCCACGCATGCCCCTGGAAAGCTATCTGGACCCCCAGGTGAGAGGAGAACCTCCTCAGATTTCGGAAGGCCTCCTCCCACCCTCTCCTCAGACCAGGGGTCTGTCCCTGCTCCCAGCCCACCTTCAGGAGGCTGAGACGTCAGCCTGTCCTGGAAGAGGGGTTGCTTATCTCCCCTGGGGAGGCTTTGAGAAAGCCTGCCCCGAGGCCTGGGTGGCCTTCACCTAGGGGAACAAACAGTACGCAGAATCACTCTTCAGTGACCCTTGCTCATGGAGGAGGCGTGATGTGAAAAGTCCGCAAATCCCTCATCTTTGGCTTCATAATGCTTTATCTTATTACTTCCAGATGTTTTTATTAATAGTACTTGCTTGATCTAATGTAAGAGTGAGCCTCTGTTCCCTGAACACCCAGTGGATGTGGGGAAATAATCTAGGAGTGAGAAAACAGAATTTTTTGGGTGAAATACATTTTTGTCTGAATGATTCTCTCAGTTGGTAATTCCCCCGTGATAGCATTCAGATCAGAAAGGAACAAATAAAACTATCTCCATTGTCAGATAACAATGACTAATGTAGAAAATTCCGAGGACTCTAAAAACAAACAAACAAAACCCCTCTTAGTTTAGCTAGGTTGTAGGATACAAGATCAACACTCAAAAATCAATTATAGTTGTCTATAATATCAATGACCATGTGGAAATCAAAATTAAAAACAATACCACTTATAGGGCCCATTCTATGCCATTCTACACCTTCCAAGGGAATGCACGCTCTCTGAGACACGGTCTCCTTCTGACATACGCATGGCTGTCTCCCCATCGCCTAGAATAGTAGGGACTCAGAAAATATTTATGGACTGAGTGACTGTTGATTAGACAAATAAAAAGAAAAGAGCAGAAACCATCTTGTATACAAGGAAAGAACAGGCCCAAGTTCCCTGTAAGAATGAGACAACCACCTGTGTGTGCATGTCTCATACAAGGCCCACCTAACAAACCTTCATGGGCTATGTTCTATGCCGCCATTTCTCCTTCTTCAGAATTCCCACAAATAATGCAAAATGGGCCACTGTGTAGTACCCTCAGTTCAATTCTATTCCAAAGCACTTATGAGCCATACTGTGCGCCTGGCACTCTGTCGGCAATGGGGGTTCAGGGATGAGCAAATCCTGCTTCCTGCCTAGCAGAAGCTCCCAACACAGTTGGAGACAGACAGGCAAGAGGATGTTCCCAGAGGTGAGCCCAGGGTGCTAGGGCAGTGAGCAGAGCAGAAGCCTGGTCTAGCCCAGGGGTGGAGCAGAAGGCTCCCCAAAGCCATCAGACAGATGGCGAGATGGGCAGACTACACTCCTGAGAATGTAGTCTCTGTCACACACCCGGCTAACGGCTATTTATGTCATCTCGGTGAGCCTTCTACTACCCTGAAAGGTAAGGTGATTCTTCCACTCACCCGAATCTGGGAGAACAAGCAGCATGAGGCAGGGAAGAGGAAGGAAAAAACTGCCCCCAGGTCAAGAGAGCATTCAGAATTTGAATTTGAATTTCCCTTTCTTCATGGAACTTGCATTCTCATGGTGGTGGGGAGGGGACAGACAAGAAACAATCAATAACTAGATTATGAGGGATGTTAGCAGATGATAAATGATGTGGACATAAGCAGGATGGGGGGAGGTAGGAGTGAGCGCAGGGTGCGGGGGAGCAGTGAGTTTCACCCTAAGTAGGGAGCTCAGGGCGGGCTCATGCAGAAGGTACCACCAGAGCTGATAGGAGGTGAGCACCAGGAGAGGAACGTTCGACTGCACAGTTAAGGAAGTATGCAGAGGGGAGTGAAGGTGATCACCTACGCTTTGCCAGCCTGCATGTGGTTACTCAGTTTACCACAGCAGTGCATTTGTACTCATTGGTGTGAGAGGGCATGAACAGACCTTAATTGTCAGAAATCACCCACACCCACACAGTCTTTCTATTCACTGACACCTTTCTGAATATTCAAAATCATGACTCAGATTAGCAGAAAAGCTGAATTCTTCTGAGTGTATCCAAGAGCATTTGCCTGGCAGCATGAATTAACGCATTGGTGGTCTCCAATGTGTAAACATTTGATACAGAGCACATGTGATTATATATATTTTTTTAAAGATTTCATTTATTTTAGAGAAAGAGAGAGAGCACGCGAGTGGGGGGTGGAGGCAGAGGGGTAGGGAGAGAGAATTGCAAGCAGACTCTGCACTGAGCACGGAGCCTGAAGTGGAGCTTGATCCCAGAACCCTGAGACCATGGCCTGAGCCAAAATCCAGAATCAGATGCTCAACCGACTGAAGCACCCAGGTACCCCGATTATATGGATGTCAAATTACAGTTGCTTTTTAATGATTTAAGGTACATATTTTGTGTAGCTCTAAAAAAATATTTTTAAATAGATAGAATCCACAAGATAGAGTCCACAAGCCAAAAGGTAACAAAGAATATTGAATGACGAGCTCCCTCCACCTGATCCCCAACCAGTGTTTTTCTTCACTGTTAGTTTTTTGAATCCTACCAGAGATATTGTGTGTGTGTTTATGTGTGTGTGTGGTGCGCATGAGAATTTCTGGGCTACCCCAGAAACAGACCTTGAGGCAAGGATTTAAGTACAGCGGTTTCTCTGGGAGGAGCTCCTGCGAACCCCCTGGAGGGGCTGGGGAGGGGACACTGGGAAGGGAGGGCAGCCAATGAGGAGAAGATCCGATAAATTGCTCCGTGGACAACCGGAGCTTAGTTGCACTGGGAAACTCTGGCAGCTGGCACAGGACACATGGCTCAGTGTTATTTCTCCCGAGGGGAAATGAAGCTGGGTTTTATAACCAGCGGCACTGTTTGAGGGCCGCGGGCTGTGGGCAACCAGCAACGTGGCCAGGCGCAGCGGAATCAGGCCGTCAGAGAAAAGAGCTCAAGGAAACGCCAGGGCTGGCTGTGCAGAGTGCGCCGGTGTGCGCTGCAATGTTAAGGAGCAGAAGGTGTGGGCAAGGCACCGACATTCTTCTAGAACCATTCAAGTGAAATTTGAACCAGACACTTGCAGTGCTGGGGCTCAGCTCTGTGAGTGCCAGGCTTCCACGGAGCCCAGTCTGAAGGTCATTGGCATTCGTTGGCACTGTGAACAAAGCCTTCCAGGGTTTGGCTCCTGTAAACTACTTCTGGTTCCTCTCCCACCCGGTCTCGGTCAAGTGCTCAACAGGAATACAAGCGATCTGTGCTGGAGGACCCCCAGGCGGCCCAGGCAGAGCTCAGGCCCTGCTCTTGCCCCGACGTCCTCCTAGCCTCTAATACATAGTGTAGTAGCCATTTGGCTAATATTTGCCTCACAAATGCACAAGTTGGGCCAGGCTCCCAGTCTGAGGCCCTGGGCGCCAGTATATTCTGGCCCTGCCTGTCTGCCACAGGATGCATCACTTGGCCCCGGACAATGCTGCTACCTAAGAAGTCTCCAGAAACGCTGAGCCTGTGATAGGAGAGGGGCCGGAGCCTGCCATCTGTCTCGTTGGTGGCTGGGACCATGGGAATTTTCACGGATGTGTCCAATCCTAGAAAAGCGTAGCCAATTACTAATATGGCCAAGAGCACAGATGTTTACTCAGAGCCGGGGCTAGTTTCCTGCCTTTGCACATCTGGCCTGACCTGGGGATGTGGTGGTGGACCTTGTGTCATTTTATCCTCATGGGGGTACATCTCTGAGTGGGGTTTGTCCTGGCGCCAGGAAGAGGGCGTGTGTCTACGAGGTACGGGGTGTCCATGTGGCACCCCCTTCCCGGAGCCGGTGATCCACAGCCAGCCAGTCGGGACCCCCTCCCCTCGGCACACAATGCTGATGACATCGTGACAGTCCTGGGCTTTATCTAGTCACTTAGCCTTGCCAAAGCTCTTTGTCATTCGTCTTTCATTTTCTGGTCATCCAAACCTGTAAGGAAGACAGACCAGGAAATATCATCCCATTTTCCACAGGAAGAATGAGGCTGATGGCTAAGGAATGCACAGGGTCACAGAGACCACACAGGTCAAGGCCAGACTGGCTTCTGCAGTCACAGCCGCACCCTGTCCCGTGTGCTCAGTGACATGGGCCCTTGACACCCCAGGTCTAACATTTGCCACCTCAACTCATTCCTAGAAACCTCCAAGCCCCCGGGGAGCGGCTGGATTGCGTCCTCGCACCATGAGCCTGGCGTGACCTCACCCTCAGTGCCCACAGCACACTTGGCTTTGCTCTTCTCCAGTCACTGCCATGGACACCGTCACTGTCCTGCATGATTACCAAAAAAGAACAAAAACAAAAAGACATTTCTTTTTGGAAAATGGTCATCAACAGAGTCCGTAAAAATCAAAGGGGCCACAGCCGGGTGAATTGCGTGATGGGAGGAGCGAGGCCGTGGGTGGGAAGGAGCATTCACAGCTGTCGCTCCTGCGAGCTTGCAGGTGTCAGACGTTGTGTTAAGTGCTTTGCACATGATCTCATTTAGGCCTCCGGGCTACGCTAGGACGTCGGTGATATTGTTATTCCCGTCCCACAGATAGGGCAACTGAGGCCTGGAGTTTCATTCAGTGCTTCTAGTCTTACCGCAGGGAGGTGGTGGTGGAGCCCAGGCTCAAATTCCAAGTCTGCGTGGTACAGCCCAAGTTCTGAAACCCTACATTGCAGTGCTTCCCTAGGCCGGCCCCGGGCGAATGCAATCCGGCAGCCTGCGTGGACTCCTACACGTGTCTGAACCCACCTGCCTCTTCTCTTAATTCACCCTCTGGCGCTCTGTCCCCTCTCTCTGCTCCCATTCTCTCCCCCACCCCTTATCGCAGGGCCTTCTTCTCTTACCTTCTCTTTCTTGGGCTGACCTGGAAACTCAAAATTCTTCTCTTTTGATTATGGGAACAGTCCATTCGCTCTACAAATGGTTTCGGACAAATATTTTGTGCCGAGCTCTGTAGTAGACACTGCAGAAAGGGCAGTGAACAAAATGGACAAGAACCCCTGGCTTCAGGACGGGATCACGCTAGCAGAGAGACAAACACAAACAAATTGACAAGGTAAAGTCAGGAGGGATAAGGCTATGAGGGAAATGGGGCAAGGAGAGGTGGGATGGAGGGAGCAGAGGCGGGTGCTCTTTGAGATGTGGGGTCAAGGAAGCCCTCCCTGAAGAAAAGGCATTTGGGCAGAGACCAGAGTCCGGGGAGGAGGGAGGGAGTCCTGCCCCTGACCTGGGAAGCATATCCCCAGTGATAGGAATGAGATTGGCATTCTCACCACATGTGGCAAAAATAATAATATAAAGAAACAAAAGAAAACTTGGGCACCTATTAAATTTAAATTTCAGATAAACAACAAATACTTTGAGGCATATTTATCCTTAAAAAATCATTCATTGTTCATCCGAAATTTAAACTTAACCGGGAATCCTGTATTTTATCTGGCAAGCTAGCCTTGTGTGTTTCAGGAGCAGCAAGAAGACCAATGTGGCTGCAGTGGGGGAGCAAGAAGAAGACCGAGGGACACGAGGGTGGGGGAACTTGCAGAGGGGTGGGTGGCTGACATTTCAAACCCGGAGAAGCCATCTGGATATGCTTCCAGTTCTCCCAGTGGAATTTTCTCCCGGCCGTCCAAGAGAGAAACCTGTCCTCTGAGCTATGAAAGAGGAGATAGGAGAGTACATGCCACGGGAGGAATTAGGCTAGTCTGGGTCATAAAGACAATTATGCCTGCAGCATCTCTTCTCCAAACGAGGTGAAGCTTCAGGAAACCCCCTGGCATCGACTTGACCTAGGGTCTTTTACCCAGCCAAGAAGCTGGATCCTGAGCAGAAGGACTGAGGGGGTGGCGTGGGGTGTGAACTTCAAGCCCAGGGATTGAGCTGTAGAAGGAGCAGGGGTTGGGGAGTGGGGGCATTTCCTCTCATGATGGGGTGGGGGGGTGGAGTCAGAGGTCAGCAAGGATTTGGGCTCCAGGATTCTGGCGGCTGTGACCGGCAGGAGGATCAAGCATCTGCCATTGGCCGTGGTAGTTTATTTGGGTATCTGAGCTGGAAGGAAACCATGGTGACTGATCTGAGCTGTAAGGACGAAGGTTGAAATAGAAAACACCCTTTGAGGTTATAATGTAAATAATTCACTGAGTCTCCTCCTGGCTGACTGAGATCCAGAGAAAAGCAAGAAAAACTGGAGTAGACATTTCAGGGAGACTTTCCGCTACAATCCCAAATGCCTACTTCCTAGGTCACCTCAAGGATTAGATGAGGAAATGTATGTAAAGCACTGGGCTTCGTGCATATGACTTTATATGTTCAATGTCCCTTCTCCATTTTACCCTCCGTCCCCAAGTCCCGGGACCTGGACGGACCTTGAGTGCCTCACAAAAATAAAAAAGAAGCTATAATGTCAGATCCTGGACAGCCTGAAGCACAGCACTGCAACTGGACCTCTTCCCTTTCTGTAAGTAGTGACCCCAAGGGAATCAAGTGCCTGGCCCACAGCAGCTAAATGTTTTGTTGCTAAATGTATGGCATGAAAATAAATGGCCTCAGCCTTAAGGTTCTCCTGCTGTTCGATCTCTCACATTCAAACCAACAGAGAAGGAAGTAAGGGCAGCCTGAGCGGGGCTACTGAGAATTAGGAGCGAGCCGTCCCCCGCCCGTCCCAGCACAGGGCTGTTGCATCCTGGCCGGCTGCAAGGCGGGCCAGGGAGCAGCCAGCGCCCAGCACAGCAGCTGCCTTATAAGGACATTTGCCGGGCCTGCCAGGTGTGTCATCCCTGGGCCCACTAGGAGGCCAGTGACGTCCCTAGTGAGTCAAGGCTGGGTGGGTGAAGCGGCCTCAGAAAGCCACATGGGTGGCAAGTGAGAGTTTTCCCTCCCCTCTTACATGTTTCCATATGCTTTAGATTATTATCTCATCTACCTTTGCAACTGGGGAAACAGACAAAAGGATTTTTTAATTTAAAAAAGTACCCAGAAGCCATTGCTTCAGGAACAAAGCAAAGTCTTTTTTTTTTTTTTTTTGGCAGGGGTGGGTGGGGAGATGAAATGAAGAACATGTAGTTCTATGGAGAGATCCCTTTGAGAACGAACACATGGCAGTCCCCCCCAAGACAAGGCAATATCCAGAGTGAGGGAGAGCCGGCCTCAACTGAGGGGCGGCCGCTGGGAGCCCCAGGTGCCACCTGTTGCCTTCCAACAAAGACAAACCAGGACTGGGCAGGGAGCCTTGGGGAAAAGTGGGCCTTCTGAAGTATCTGAAGGCAGGGGAAGTGGCTGTCGGCTTGACTGGAGGCAGCGTGGAGTCATAGTTAAGACAGAGGTTTTGGGGCGCCTGGGTGGCTCAGTCGGTGAAAGCGTCTGCCTTCGGCTCAGGTCATGATCCCGGGTCCTGGGATCGAGCCCCGCATCGGGCTCCCTGCTCAGCAGGGAGTCTGCTTCTCCCTCTCCTCCCCACCTGCGCTATCACTCTCTGTCTCTCTCTCTCAAATAATTAATTCAAATCTTAAAAAAAAAAAAACCAAAACAGAAGGTTTTGAAATCCTACTGCCCTGGGTGTGAATCCTGACTGTGCCACTTTCACTGGGTGAACTTGCGCAAGTTAATTAGTCTTTGTAAGTCTGGACTGTCCCTTGTGTGAAGTAGTTGTTCATTAACAAATACCCACACAGCACTTTCCAACGCTTTACTCACAGTAACTCATCGACTTTTCATAACCAACCTATGAGGCAGACTCTGCTCTCGTCCCCATTTTACAGATGAGGAAAGTAACTTGCCCGTGGTCACACAGCTGGCCATTGGCAGAACCAAAATTCGACCCCGGAGTTGACCACCTCCAGGGCCTGTGCCCCCAAGTGCTAGGCTGTGCTGCTGAGAGTTTACAACTGTGCTCACTTCACCTGATTGGAGGATTAGATGGCTCAGGGCACGTAAAAGCCTTTACTACTGTGTCTTGCACGTGGTTAATGTTTGATGAACATGACCTGTTGTTACCCATTATCTAAGGGATCGGAGATTACCTGGAAGCAGACCCCGCGAGGAAGGTGCCAGTGCCAGTGATTAGAAGGGTCAGCCCCTGGAAGAAACTGGTCCAAGAGTGGGAGAAGCAAGCCTGGGAGCTGGAGGGAGCCAAGGCTGTGAGATTTCAGGTGAAGTGTCACAAGGGAGCGACTTGTGAGTTTGTCTCCATTGAGTGCCAGGCTTTGCACTCACAAAGTCTGTCAGTCCCTGGCTAAGGGGTGCCCTGGGGAAGTGGAAACACCCAGGCCCTTCTGAGCTCTGCGCTCGTGGGCAAAGCAGTCTAGTCATTGGCAGGCAGTCTTCCAAAGGGAGTTGCAGGCATGGGACTGTTAGAAGAAACACAGCAGCAGGCAAATCCCCCCACCATTGCAGCTGGGCCCTCAGCTGGACTGATGCTCACCATCTCCCTCCTCCCCCACTCTTTCTAGATTCCCCTCACTCTCCACCAGCACTTCTGCTGGTCTGGGTGGCCTGCTTGCTGACGTAACATAGAGTTTTATCCCCGAAGGGTCTGGACCCCTGGTTACCAAGTTCTTATCAGGTGTGGTTGCTATAGTTGCCCATCTGCAAATAGAACTGGACACCAAGACATGTCCCAATGGATGCCCGGAGTTCCAAACCTGTTCCTCCCCGTCCCCATGATGCAGCAGCAATCCTACCTCCTCATGATGATCAGAGGCAATTACCCTGCTTGTTGGGTGTATGCATGGCCCCCATTTCTGCCACCATGGCAACTCTAGTCATAGATCCATGATGTCAGCCCTGGGGTGACTGAGAGCAGGCCGCTTGGTATCTATCCGTCAAGTCATCCTGTTTACCTGGTTGTTGAGTCTCTCTGATTCTGTAGGGGATTCTCTGCTGGACACTCATGTATAACAATGTCTACACTTCAGGCCTCCTGTATACCCTTCTCCTGTATCACCTCAACCCCGATCTTCCAATCTTGCTTCTTCCAGACCCCTGACCAGGCAGCCAGACCGCTTACCGCAGCTCAGGACTCCCCAGTATATTCTTACCAAAAGCCGTTTCTCTCTCCTCACAAACGGGATGACAAGGTACACTACCTGAATCTCTGCCCATTGGGAGGATTTCTTGTGCTTTCTTACTCTTTGCAGAGTCCCCTGAGTGGAGCTGTGACACCACACAGTCTATTCTCAGCTCACACCAGCATATCTAGTCAAGCCCTCAAGAGCTAGGCCCGGATTTTCTGTTTCTCCTCTGCCAAGAGGCACCAATGCAATGGGAAAAGGTGATATGTGAGTCTGGTCAACTTGGTCAGTTAGCTTACTCATACCCTCCGGAGCTGCTCAGGACCAGACCTGGATATGCCATGATCAGTGTAAGATAGATACAGCCTGGCCTCTCCAACCTCATGACTTAGTGGGAATGACAGCACTCAGTCCGTGATAGATAGCTCTAGATGTAAAACTATTTGATGACTTCTGGCAAGATGTTCACTCTCTCCCCACGTTCAGTAGCCTGCCAAGATTTGCCTTTCAAGAACTGCATACTTTTTTTGCTGCAGATCACATGCACCTGCTCCAGAACTTAGAGATCCACAGTGCAACTCTCCAGATACAACTTGCCAAATACACATGGTGCTCTGATTTATCACAGGTACCTCCTGCCCCAGGGGATTTTTCCAGTTTACAGAGCCCCAGGGGCAAGACTGCATGTGCCACAGGCTGGACCTACTGCAGAGCCCTCTCTTGCTCTGGGACCAAATCAAAATTGCCAACTGTTTGAGTCCTCAGATAAATGGGATGGAGCCGTGTTCCCAAGACCCAGCTCCCAGCCAGACTTCCAGAGTTGAGAGCATCAGCCTATCCTGAACACTAAAATCTTGGAAATGGGTGGCATTGCCCCTTGTAATGTTGGAATGAGTAACAGAGCTGGCACAGAACCCTAAGGAAACTCAGGAGAGGAAGAGAGAGGGTGGAAGACTAAGAATCCTGGGATGGATGCTGCTCGCTGCTCTCCACAGGCTCTGAGGTGTCACAGGAGTGAGTCAAAACCGATCTAAGATTCACTCTTTGGCTCACTGAGTGAACCAAGCTCGACACTTCACAGTACGGTCACTCTAGTTTGCAATGACAGTCTAAACTTGGTAGCGTCGGGAATCCAGTACTTCCGTTTCCCATGTCATGGCCCCAACCCAGTCAAGTTGGGGTTCTGCTTGCCCTAGATCTTTAGGGTCAGAGCAACCAGCCTCTGCATGTGTGGTGTCCCCACCCCTGGGTTCACTCCGTGACTTTTGCACAACCCCTGCTAGCCCTTTAGTTCCCCTGGCTCTGTTTCCTCACCATCTACCCTCTTCATCCTGTGCACAGTCACATGAAAGTATATTATGTGGAGGAAAAGAAAACACACCCTCTAGGTGTTCGTGCTTTCTTTGAAATGAGGCATGTCCACCAGCTGCCCAAGGTTCCTAGCTGGGGGTTGGGCAGGTTGGGCTGACTGGGAGCCAGATGATGATGACTTGCCTAACAGAGAAGTTATTTTCAGCAAGTGTTAAGGAGGATTTGCTCTTCCTTCAAGATGATCCATTTTTCCACTCATTCAGCTGCCTTCCCAGAGCCCTTCTACTCTGGTCCGAATCACACTTGGGGAAATTAACTATTCACTGTCTTTACCATCAGTTGTGGCCCCAGTTATATTAGAAACTCCCTGAGGAGGCCCGAGGCCATGATGTTACGTCTCCTGGAGCCCCCAAGTGCCCAGGGCTGGGTTGCATCTCAGGAGGTCCCCCATGAAGTGAAGTGAATTCAGGAATGCAGCAGCCTGGGACCCACACGCCTCCTCCTTACAAACAGGCCTCCTCCCGCTGTCTCACCCACAGCATGTCCAGTCACACAGCCCACTGATAGCAGAACTAGGACCATTGCACAGGGAAATGAAGAGACACAGAACAGTGACTGGACAAGAGCACGGCCTTTGCCAGGCCTCCTTCACTTATCAGCCATGTGAGCTTGAGCAAGCTACCATGCCTCTGTTTCCTTTTTTGTAAGAAAGAGAAGGCTAGGAGGCCGCGGCACCGGGTTGACCAGAAGATCAAGTAGGCAGATGCATGCAAAGCTCTGGCCCAAGGCCTGGAGTGGAATGAGTGGTCAGTAAACATTTAGCAAAAGGGGAACGTGTAACTTCAAAAGAAAACCACATAAACTCCACAAAGTATTTGGCACTTTTATGAAATAGCTTGACATCTCCAGTTTCACTCTACACAGGATGCATGCAGTTGGGAGTGGGGGCTTTTGGCTCCCTGAGCACAAGGCTGTTCCTTTCTGGGAGAAGGGCCCCCGTGGCTTGGAACCCTGTCCAGGCTGCCCTGAAACCAAAGGCGCCTTGTGCGTGCAGTGACCTGCACTGAGCCTGGCGGCCGGGACTGGAAATGTGCGGTTAAGCAACCAGAGGCAGAATGGGGAAGTGGACTCCACCACCTTGTGAAGGAAGCGCAGTGAGGTCCACAAGAGCAACGCTTTTCCCTATTTCCAAACACTGTCCTCCTGTGACCTCCCTTGGTGCAGGTTAGTGGGAGGCAAGATGCCTCGCAGCCCCAGAGCCCTTCCCATGCCTCAGCCCCAGGCTGTGTCCTTTCAGTTACACTTCTCTGTCGAGCTCTTCATTATCTGTCTGTACTACCTCTGGTGCACTCGTCCTCATCCCCCTGCCCGTCATGTCAGGCTTCTCCTGTTTCCAGAACCTCAGCAACTGGCCCATCCTTTTTTTCTGCCATCACCATTGTTGTTTTTATCATACAGGCTCCGCACACCTGTTTGTTTGTTCATTTGTTGGGTGGTTTATGGTGTGATTCCATGAATCCAGAGTTGGAAAACTAGCCCCTGGACCACATTTGCTCGGGGGTGTGTTTTTAGGTGGCATGCTGTGAACAGCGGCCAGACTATCCGAGGCTTCACATGTACGAACGCACACTGAACCTTTCACACCACTTTATGAGCTTACATTCAGTCCTTGTCCTCACGTCACAAATACAGAGAGCAAATGCAGAGAGGTGAGATAGTCCGCCCAACGATACCCAGCTAGTAAGGAGAGGAACCAAGATGTGAAGGAATCCCTCCTGGCTCCAGAAGCCCTGTTCTTCCCACTGCACCATGATGCCTTGTTAAAACAAAACAAAACCAAACCAACAAAACATCTAAATGATTGTTCTAGAAGGCAGCAGAGTAATTACCTTTAGGGGGAGGCAAGGAATAGAAATCAGAAAGGGGTTGAGGGGGAGATCCTGGCGTACCGGCAGTGGTCCCCTCAACACCTAGTTGGTGGTGACAGAGGGGTTCACTTTTTGACAATGTGTTGAACTGCAGGTGTCTCTCATGCAACATATATTACTGAGGGGTGGGAGGGGGTGGCTAAGCCTTGCGATTGCATCTGCTCTATGGGGTTTGACTTCTCAGCCTCTTCTGTGCCGTAATGCGGTGGGGGCCCTGCTGTGTGTTGTGGAGACGCGGCACCACTAAGCCTCCTGAGGGGAGATACCTCCTGGGCACTGAAGGAGCCAGAGTGCCTGAGGGGCTCTTGTCTAAATAACTGCTATCCTGGGCTCCCTCATCCCTAGGGCCTAGACCCGAAAATAGGGCAGGTACTTCTTCCAAATTTCCATCGGGGAGCTGAGAGGCCCCTGGGAAGTCTTCCAGAAAAGTCTACCAGGAAGGCCAGGGTAAGGCACAGCCCAGGGCAGCAAGGGCCAAAGCCATGCCAGGTCTGGAAGGAAAGGGCAGGTCCTCCAGGCCTCCATGCTCTCATTTTGTCTGACCTGTGACCTCGCAATGCCTTGACCCTCATCTCTGCACCATCTGAGGCCCCGACAGGGACAGCAACCTCAGATCTCTGCCTCCGCAGAGCTCTCTGGCTGGTGACGAAGAGCCATTGTCCATTTCTGCCCATGATGAGGCTCTAGCTCTTTCATGGGATTTTCAGGTAGTAAGGCATGGGACTCGAGTCCAGCCCTAACCCAGTCTGAAGTAGGTGGGACCCTGCCACGTTACTGTGTTCTTCTCATGGCAACAGTGTCATACATCCTGGGAGGAATGACTCGTGGCTTTGGGGAGAGTCTGTCTCTACAGTGCTTTGGGGTTCTGGCACTGGTATACTGTTGATGACACCAGAATTCCCCTTCTACCCCCTGAACAGCCTTTAAAGTCCAGCTTGCTTCCCAGCTCCCCCTCATGGTTCCATTCCTGTGAACTCAGCAGTCAGCAGAGTCCTGTCTCCTCCCTCCCCCCGCCCCCACCATCTCACCACCCCCCACTGCCGGGCCAGCTCAGCCTCTCCGAGGACACTCACTCCCAGATCAGCATCCCACAGCCCTGTCTGCTGACTGTCTAACACTCCCTGCCCTGCTAATACTCAGTAAATGCTAACATCCACAGAGCGTTTACAATATGGCAGACATAAGGTCATTAGCTCATTGAATTCCCATTAAACACAGCTCCTGGCGCATGGGAGGGGTTCCAGAAATATTTCTTGACTGGCTGCATCCTCACAACAATCTTTTGTGGGAGGTTCTATTAATCCCTCATTCCACAGATGAGAAAAATAAGGCTCAGAGATGTTAAAGAACCAGTCCAAGGTCACAATGACAAGTTCAGAGCTGGGATTCCAAGACGGGTCTGTTTCTAGAACTTATGTATTCACCCCCTTGGTTTACTGCAGTTTATTGGTTCATGCAACAAATATTAATCCAGTATCTACTATGTGCCAGGAACTATTCCTGGTATGGGGGACACAGCAGAAAATAAAACAGACAAAATTTCTGCCTTACGGAGCTTACATTCTAATGAGGGAGACAGACCTTAAAGAATGATAAATAAGAACCATTTATTGTATGAGATTAATAGAGGTAAGAGCTAATGAAAAAATAAGGAAGGGAAGAGTGGGGATGTCATTTTAGATGGGGTGAGCAGGAAGTCTTTATGGAGAAAGGGATAGTTGAATAAAGACCCAAAGAAGGTGAAGGAAACCGCGCCTCAGAAATGCAAGAAAAGAGTGACAGGTGCAAAGGCCCTGAGGCAGGAGGGTTCCTGGTGAGTTCTAGAAACATCGAGGAGGTCGGTGTGGTTACAGCAGAATCACTGAGGGAAAGAGTACTCAGAGAGTAGCAGGGCCAGCTCATGTTGGGCCTTAGGTCATTGTACAGAGTGGTATGACCACTGGGTGCCATGGAGCTCCCTGGAGATCGTGAGTGGAGGCATACCACATTCTGATGTGGCTTTTAACAACACTACTGCAGCTGTTGATGGAGACTTGAGAAAAAACAAGGCAAATGCATCAGCAAGGAGACCAGCTAGGTGACTGTGGCAAAAATCCAGATAAGATATTACAGTCGCTTGGATTGGGGTGGTAGCATTAGAGGTGGTGGGAGATGGCTGACTTGGGATATGGTTTTAAGATGGTGCCAACAGGATTCCAGACCCCTGTACCCAGTTGCAGGTCTCTTGGCACCTCAGACACATCATGCCTGAAACTTAACACGTTCTCCTCCCACAGGAAATTTTCATCCCTCCTGTTCTTTTCTCTCTGTTTATCCTACTCCCATCTAGACTGTTGCCCAAGCCAGAAACCTGATCACCCTTGATTCCTCCCTCTGTTCACCTCCCACAACCAATCGGCCGCCCTGTCCCGTCCAGGCTACTCT